CGTATGGCTGGGACAGCTGGGTGTCAGCAGGCCTTCTTGGAGCAGCTGTTTGCAGTAACCTATAGTTGTCATGAGAACCAGGCTCCAGGGAACACTAGCCTGATAGATTTATTAGGCAGAGGTAAGAGATGCCCTTTGTCACTAACTTTTATGAGGGTATGTCAATCTAGATTCAGAGAGCAGTTGAAAAGATTTGGGAAGTTTGGTGATTGTGAAAGCCAAGAGGATCTTAATAGAGTTCCCATGATATTAGCCCTTAGTATGCTCCAGGGAAAAATTCTTGATCTCCAGAGCCAACCTAGATCTTGGAGAAACAGGATGTACAGGACTGGAGGTGAAATGACACTCAAGTTGTCTCTGTTCTCTGGTTTTTAAGACCTTTGGGGATTTATGGTTCCTTGGGTTTCCCAGCTGGAAGGAACTTTGGAGATAAACCTTTCATTCATTTAGGTTTTTTTTTTGTACCAGTCCTGGGGCTTGAACTCAGGGCCTGGGGGCTCTCCCTCAGCTTTATGCTCAAGACTAGTGCTCTTCCACTTGAACTACAACTCCACTTGTGGCTTTTAGTGTTTAATTGGAGATAAGAGTCTCAGAGACTTTCCTGCCCGGGGCTAGCTTTAAACTATGATCCACAAATCTCAGCCTTCTGAGTAGTTAAAAAGATTACAGCTGTGTGCCATGAGTAACTGGCTGGAGTTAAACCCTTTTATGTTCCCAAGGAAATCTAGAATGGGGATGGAACTTGCCAAAGGTCCCCAAGGTCAAACTGTAAGTTGGTGGCAAAACTAGGTCTTGAACCTTGACCTCTAGGCTCTAGAGAAATGCCTTGCTCTCTCTTCTTTACATGTGGGTTCTTTCTTTAGCAGGAAAGCTCAGGGACAGAACCCAAGCACAAGGTTCAAGTCCTAGGACTGGCTATGAAAAGCGGGGGTGTGGGGGATGGAGAAAGGTTGCTTTACGTGACTTCTGGGAGAAAGGATAAACATTCAAGCAGGATTTAGAAAAGCTGTCAAGATCTGACCCTTTCTGACATTTCAACCTGAGTTTTCCTTTCCTCTCTCACCTTGACTGCCCCAGTGATATTTAAAGACCCTGACTAAAATGTATTCTTACTTCACCCCATGTTTGTTACTGTGTTTGTACTGTGTTCTTCCAATGAAAACATCCTCCCCTTTCCACGCGGAATCCTTGTTCATTCTTTGTCTCCGCACATTAACCTTCCTATCTGGTACAGAGATTTCTTTTTCCTTTGAGCTCTATGCTTGGATTTGTTCCTCTAACCACCTATAGATGAGAATACATCACCTCAGGTGTTTTAGGGACCGGCAGCATTGGCCTCATAGGTTACAAGTTCAAAATGCAGGATCTCAGGGCCCAATCCACACCACTGTGTAGATACCAATTGTGACACAAAAAATACCCATGCTATTCGTATGTTTATTATTATTTGGGAAATCTTGCTCAAAAACATCTTTCCATTTTCCTTTTCATAGCATGCATCTTGTGACATGTTCCCCTATGACTGTCAAATGACTGGTTTCTGTTTCACTGAATGCTGAGTTATGACAAGGCCTGATCTGCCTTCTCTAGTCCTTGATTTCTAGCCACAATACAGGATGTGGCACATTATTAGCAAATGAATCCATGTCAGTTAACAAAGTGAGGTCTCTTCAAGTTGTTGGATAGTTTCAAGTATATCACAGTTTTTTTGTAAAATGTTTTTTTATTGTAAAAATAGTGTACACAGGGGTTACAGGTAATGTGTCCATTTCCTGTTGAGCATCGTGACCTCCCCTACTATCCTTTTCCTATAATTCGTTAGATATTAAGAGTTCCTGATTGCAATTATTTAATAAATGTGATCTATAGTTCCTTGAGAACTCAGAGAGACCTCTGGGGCGGGGCTGAGGTGGGGTACCCAGAAAAGACTCAGCAGGTGGGGGCTCAGCCATTCGATGCTAGCTTCTACCAAAATGACGAAGCATCTGGACCATACATTTGTAGATTTGCTCCTGTATCCAGTTATTAGGCAAATATTTATTTCACATCTATGTTTCAAAGTGAACATAGGAGGAAGTAAAGGTGGAGTGAAATGGTAGAGTACCAGCCCTGTTCAGGGGGTCGGGGAAGGGGAAAGCTAAGTTCAGTACGAGCACGAGCACACACACACACACACACACACACACACACACACACACACACACACACACACAGAGTGAATATAGGACACAAAATACTACTAAATTATGAATGAGTTACATTGTTGTAGGGGTGGACGAGAGGTGATACATAAGTAAACACACAAGCAACCTAAAACACTGAAACCTACGAGTTTGATGCAGAATTAAAACATGAGTGGAAAGCCAGGTGCTGGTGGCTCATGCCTGTAATCAGAGCTACTTGGAAGGCTGAGAGCTGAGGAGAGTGGCTGAGGACAGCGGTTCAAAGAGAGCCCTTGCAGAAAAGTCTATGTCGGTTGTGAGGCCTGAAGTCTGGGCCTGGGCGCTGCCCCTCAGCTCTTCAGCTCAAGGCTTAGTGCTCTACTACTTGAGCCACAATGCCACTTCCAGCTTTTCCTGCTTATGTGGTGCTGAGGATTCGAATCCAGGGCCTCGTGCATGCAAGGCAAGCACTCTACCACTGAGCCACCTGCCCAGCCCCGTCCGTGAAACTCTTATCTTCAATTAGCCACTCAGAAAAAGCCAGAAGTGATGCTGTGGCTCAATTGGTAGAACACTAGCCTTGAGCACAAAGAGACTCAGGGACAGCAACCAGGCCCTGAGTTCAAGCCCCAGGACTGGCAAAAAAAAAAAAAAAAAAGAGTAGAAATGGATCTTAGTTTCTATATAAGATTCATATAAGATTCTGTATAAGATTCACTTAAGATTCCACTGACTGAAACAGAAACTGGATCAGGGCACTAGTTCATCTAGATTACCTTTTAGATAAGAAGACTGAGCACTAGAAAGAAGCAGAGCCCAAAGTTGTATGGGTTTATTAGCAGGGCCAGCAGGACAGACAGATTAGGGTACAAGCAATTTTGCTTCTTGCTAACGTGGCAGGGTGGCATATCAGAACAATCTCAGGATACTAGAAATCTCAGAGAAGGAAAAGGAAACTGGGTTACGTGGGTTGGGGCTAGGCGGGGGGCAGTAACTGGGGTCTGGCAGGTTAGGGAGTTATCATAGTCCTTTATTACCGAGTAAGTTGCTCTGTCTCTGTGGGTGACCAGAAGGCCTTTCTAGAAGATTTATGTCCTGGAAGTCCATAAAGGATCCTAGCAGGTTGTAAAGACAGAGTCAGGAGTAGGGTTCTGGTTTAGCTTCCACCTAAATTCCCTAAGCCCTGTGAAAAAGCCCCATAAAGTGGAAAGCCTTTTTCCATTCAGGAGCAAGATGGGAGCTCAGAGGACTCACACAGTGGCTTTCATTTAGGGGTCTCTATTGCTGCCTGCCAGCCTACCTCTTCCTAGCTTTTATCTATAGCACCCACCTTTCAAGTAGAGGGGAGAAAGTGAAAGTCCAGAACACAACCAAACTGATAAGACAGGCCCAATCCTCCAATGAAGCTCTCATCAAACTCATCTCATCTCTTGGGAGCCTCAGAGTCTTAGGTCATCTCAAAAGTTCTACTGGATTAAGATGAGAGTTTCGTGCACAATTAACTTCTGTGTTTCACGCTTTGCAGCTCTGGGCATCTTACTTAACCTCAGAAAATCTCAAGGAACTTCTTCTTTCAGAAAATAGAAAGAAAATCCTTGCCTGGGTCATTTAGAAGCTTTTATAGCATGAAGCCCCTGCCCACTGAGTATCCCAGGGAGACACAGTTCTCCTCAAAGGGACCTGTGCTACCTTGGCTGAGACTCTTTGGAGGGTCGGTAGATGTACTTCTTGTCTCAACGACTGCCCTTTTTACTCCTTGCTTTTTCTGATCAATTCCAGAAGGCTTTTTTTCCCCTTAAAGATAGGATTATATCACTTGCCTGTGAAAAACACTGACAATACTTGCTATTACCCTAGAGAGATAAACCAAACTCCTTAACCCTATTGGAAGAACATTCAGGACTTCAGGCTATGGCCTCTGTGACCTTGTGACCTCTCCCTTCTTATCTCTAACCACAACTGCAGGGAGATTCTTCATTTCTTGCAAACATAGAACTCACCCAAATATAGAAGGGATTCTTCTGAAGTAGGGGAAGGGATGTGAGGTGTTAGTGCTCAAGATGATCCCAGACCCTATGAATCACATTTGGGCAAGTTGGTTAGATTTTCTCCTGTGTTACCCTTCCCATCTTTCAGATTATTTAAAAAGAATACCGTGATTGGGAGGTGTGCCTTTAACATTTCTCTTATTAAAATTTAAAAAAAAAACTGCTATGTACAGGGAAAATCTCTTGCTTCCATAAGATTGAGGGACAATTTTGTTCTGTGCAGGTTTTGTTGTTGTTTGATTATACTAATATTTATTTTTATCAATGACTATGTTTCCTTTTCTCTTAAGGACGGGTGAGTTTGTTTTCCCTTTATGAGATAATACAGTGCTTTTTTCTTCTTTTCTCTTTTTCTTTTTTGGTGCTTGAACTCAGAACCTTGGCCACTATCTTAGCATTTTTGTTCAACCTTAATAATGCTCTACCACTTGAGCTATACCTCTACTTCCTGTCTTTTGCTAGTTAATTAGAGGTAAAGAGTCTCATAGACTTTCCTGCCCGGAATTGCTTTGAGCCTTGACCCTCAGATCTTAGCCTCTTGAGTAGCTAGTGTGAGCCACTGGTGCCTGGTAATACCATGTTTTCTATTCAAATATATATTTCAGTAAGAAGCCTTTTTCTCTGCTCAACACCTATCTTAAACCCTGACATAACTATACATATCAGCACCCAGTTATTTATTGGATATAGCCCACTGTCAGTATAAGGTAAATGGGTCCAGTAGAATAAACTGGAAGTAAAAAAGAAAACAAAAAGTCTTCCTCTCTACTCACATTTCAGAAACACATACCTGGGCCCTAGCTCATCCTCACTCCTCCAGACAAAGTCACCAAACTTTTCATAGTGAGAGTTGTAATGGTGTTGGACTCGGAAAAGCATGGAGGCTGAGACTTCCATCAGGGTGTTGTAGGCAGTCTGTTGCTCCTTCCCGCTTGTGTACCCATTGTACAGATTGTAGATCTTGTCAGCTATCTCTGAGAGGAAAGCAGTACAGATCACTGACCGGGGAAGCAGTGAGAACAGAAGCATGGCTTGCAAACACGGAAGGCAGAGCTGTGCCGGGACCTCACTTGTGCGGTCTTTGGAGATAGAGATGTCTTAATGCCATCCTCACTATGACATTGACTGGTGTGTCCCCCTTCCCTATCTAATAACTGAAGATCAGAAGAAAATGTAAATGTAAATGCAAAGAACTCCACACAGATCCTTTGTACACATGTCGTGTTCATTATAAATTAATGATTGGCTTATTGTGTTCCTGACTTAACAGAAAATTCCAAGCAAATGCTGAGACTTTGTCAAATTGTGCCAGCTCATCTCAGTGTTCTTTCTCTATTACCCATCTGAAGTATTTCCTACATATTTCTATGTATGTACGTATTATCAGGGCTGATAGGTCCCTGCTCAAAACTTTTAAAGACCATGCAGACTCTTTTTCTTACCATTGAGGGCCATCCCTACTCCTTCAGTCACTCCTGCTAAAAGCCTCAAGAGAAGAAAGCACATTCTTCCAGCTTTGAAGCATCATCTGATCAAAATCTGTGTCCCCAAATATTAACAATGGTTACCTCTAGTAGAATCTGGGGCACTTGGGATCAAGAAAGGAAAAGCACTGACTTTCTATGATTTTTTTTTCATTCTAACTTTTCTTATTTTTTAAAGTAAGTATATGAGTTATGTGAAAATAAAAATAATAATAAAAATTAACAATAAAATGCCTCAAGTCTTCTTAACTTTGAGGCTTGGTATCACACTGTCTCCTCATATCCACTACCACATACAGCATTGATTTTCAAGCTTCTTATCCATGTAGAACATGGGCTTGTAAACTTGTTTCCACTGCACTGGCTGGACCAGAGAATTCTGGAAATAATTGTCCAACAGGACTTGTGAAGTACCTTACATTTTGCCCATCAATGTGAAGAAACTATACAGACACATCATTTAGTGGTGGATCTAGATGACGAGTTGTAGTTTTTCAGGTGGTCTTATCTGATATTTACAACCTCATGGACCAGGTACGACAAAACGTTAATCTTGTGGGATAACTATGACTGCTAACCACTACACTGTGTAGCGGTATGGCAGAACGGTGTGCTGTGATCAACTAGTAATGTCTGTATGGGTGCAAAGAGGTGAAATAGTCTCCTAGATGCCACTCATTTGCCAGCTTAACCTAGATGGCAAAGCCAAAGGCCTCTCTGATCATTGTCATCTTTGCTTATCAGTCAGAACATGGAGAAACTATAAAAATCGAGTCTTTCCCCCCGGCAACAATGTTGGCAATTAATCTCATTTTTCCCCCTCCATGGGCTTCGATTTAATTTAGCTACATATCTCTCCTTCTTGGTTTGTTCACTTTCTTTTCCCTTTGCCAGTATGCAGGTGTGTTTTGTGGTTAATGACTACTAGGGGGCAGAGACTAGAAAGGGAACTGATAGCCTCACCTTTAGCACAGGATAAAAACGTGTCACCTACCTTCTGCCTTGTTGTCATCCACCAGTGGACAGGCCGTCCGCAGGGTCACTGTGCTGAGCTCAGAGTGCCTCCCCCGTGTGTCCACAGCATACAGAGTGAACCTGCAGCACAGCAAGAAAACAGAGTGGCAGGCTGAAACTTCACAGGAGGCCCCGAGGGTTAACTGAAGAGCACCAAACCGTGGCAGAAAAGTAGTAATCCAAATGACTCTGGGATGGGTCAGCGGCCAGGGAATGATTTCAAAAAGAATAAGAATTTTAAAACTTTGAGCACTGCCTTTGAGACAGTGTTTAATCTCCTAATTTGCAATGAAGCAAGCCCAAAAGGCAGGGACTTATGATCACCCATATTTCACCAACGAAGACATGGAGGCAGAGACTGCACATCTTTCCTTGTACTCATCATTACTGAGAGCAAAACTGGGGCTTGAACCCAAATCGTCCCAGTCTGTTAAGTGCTGAGGTTATAGAGGTAAACAAGAAAGTTAAGGTCCCTGCTTGAGTAAGATTAATCAAAAGTAAACTAAGAATCAGATTGTGGTGAGTATGATGAGGGTGTAGGGTGAAGGTGGTTTTGGATAAGGTAATCTATACAGGCCTTTCTGAATCAGCAGGGAAGGTCTGAGCTGGTCTCGAATAATGAGATGAAGAACTGAGACAAGAACACTCCAGGCAGGAAAAGCTGTCAGGACAAAGACTTTGAGCAGAAAAGGAACTTGGACTGTTGAAGAAATAGACAGCTGGTGCACTGGGGCAAGTTGAGCTGGGGTGGAGGGTCTGTGGGGATATTACAGGCCATGATAGGGAGTCTGGGACTTGTGTTAGTTACTAGCCATGCCCCCCAAAAATGTCCTACGTATCTCAATGTTCTCCTGGTGAAAGTAGACCTGTGTGTTTTAGACGGAGACAACTGATAAATCCAACCCAAGAACATGGATTTTCTAATAGAGCAGCCTCTGTTTACCTGGGGGAAGCTCTGAGTTCTGTCATTCATGCAAAGTCTAAGAAAGGAACAGAGAAGGCTTCACAAAGGCCAGAAGACTTACAGGTTACGAGTAATAAGATGGATTGTGCATAAGAGTGGCCTGATCATGTCATGCCATCCCGCCCACTTATGGATAAGAATTCAGTGTATATACACAAAATTGAGAAAAAATAAGGGAATGGGTGAGTCAAAGATCAACATGCATCATGTTGATATGTTGATGCACTGTATTCATAAACTGTTTTGCTATGTGGTACCTCCTTTTTACAACTACTTAAGGATAATTTTTAAATTAATAATAATAATAATTTTTTAAAGTTGGGTATTGTAGACCATGCCTGCAGTCCTAGCTATGTAGGAGGCTGAGACCTGAGGATCACAGTTCAAAGTCAGCCCTGGCAAGAAAAGTCTGTGAAATGCTTATCTCCAATTAACCACCAGAAAACTGGAAGTAGTGCTGTGACTCAAAGTGGTAGAGCACTAGCCTTGAGCACAAAAGCACGAGAAAAGCACCCAGGCCCTGAGGTCAAGCCCCATGAATAACAAAAGAATAAAAATAGTAATAAAAATAGCATTTAAAAATAGACCCTAAGTCCTAGTGTCCTATTCAATTTGCTTTCCTGCTTCCTCAGTACCTCTATTTAACTCATGCTATAAAATGTACATAGTGGTATGATTATCAGATTTTAGAATAATGAACCCTCACTAGTTGTACATCTTAGACAATACATATTAACTACTTGTACCAACTAATGAATATATTCTAAGATCCTAATATATATCGAGGATTGAGCTAAAGCAGCTTGACCTACATGATCACAATTCATTCCCAAGCACTCTTTAATGATAGGTGCCATTACTATCTTTATTTTATGCTTAAGGGAATTACACAGTAATGACCAGGACTGGCTTTGTGTTGTCTGATTCTATATCTTATTCATGAAACCATTGTTGGCTACTCTCTTTAGCCACAAATCTGCAGATATAAATGTTGTACACACACACAAACACACACACACACTCACACACACACACACATGCTGAATCCCAGTGTGGCTGAGGTAGTGCCACCTCATAGATTTTTCTGTCTCATGAAATCTTAAAATAATTGCCTTCATTACTTCCATCTGTCAGGACAGGAAACTAAAGGTAAAGTCTAGGCAATTTGACCAAAATCATAGATTTAAAAATGAAAAGAGCTAAGCCTATAATCGTACTCTGAAAGTTGTACTTCTTGCTCTCCACTGACATTTTTCTGCTTTAGCTCTGCTAAACAGCTCTACATTGGTTTGGAGGGTCTAAGCTTACAAATCTACCTGGACCCTGTCAGCTTTGAGACTTCATAATCTCATGCCTTAAAGATTGTTTATATAAAAGCTCCCATGAGTCAAAACTTCTTAGTGTAAAGGGAGGGAAAAGTAGCAGAGAAAGGAGATTGGCCTTGCAAGTGGCCAAATTTAGGCTCATATTCCTGTTATGCTTCTGTGCCATTGTGTAAGTCATTTACCTCATTGAAGTTTCTTTAGCTCTCTGCAACAGGTATTGTGACAGGGAGACCATCACCTTCCTTACAGGCTGAACGTGGATGGAGATGAAAAGTAAAGTTATCATTGAGAGTTCTTAGAAAATGTGGGGAAAGAATCAGCAAGAAACACAAGCACTGGAAATAGTGCCCACTTAAAACTTCAGCACACTGAAGGCTGAGGTAGGAGAGAAGGAAGCAAGCAAGCATGCAGGCAAGTGAGCGAGTGAGAGATAGGAACAAAAAAAGGAAAAAAGAAAGTGAATAAAAGAAAGAAAAAAGAAAAAACATGAGAGGGGAAGGAAGGAGGAGAGGGACAGGAAGAGAAGAAGAGAGGGGAGGCAAAGGAAATAGAGGGGAAAGAAGAGGAGCAGAAGGGATGAAAGAGAGGGGAGAGGAGGGGAAGGAAGGGAAGGGAAGAGAAAGGTAAGGAAGGGAAGAGTAGAGTCGGGAAGGGAAGAATAGAGTAGGGAAGAGTGGGAAAAGGAGGGGAAGGGAAGGGAAAGGATTTCATTTCTCACTTGTTTTCTCCATCAATACAATGAGGAACACTTTGCAGACTAAGCTGCTTTTACGAAGTTATCTCAGTGATTACAGGGAGTCACATGTGAGGAAGGTCTGGTAATTGCAGATTGGTATAAAGACAATACATAGAACACTTACTTGTATGAGAGTACACATTATTTATTGGACTTCGAAAAGAAGATGTATTTCAGGTAAGAATTACATAGAGGCTTGTGGTGAATGGAACATGTAATGGATCCTAAGTCCCAGGATAAACTGAATATGTTTAACTCTGTTTTCCAGTTGGTCACTTAGATTTTCATGACGTTTCTGCCATGTGATGTCTCCATCCAGGGTCTGCTCTCTGCTTGGCCAAGCAGAGAGGTATCTATGATGCTGTTGATGAATAGCACTGTGCTGGGAAGTAGTCTTCGGTGTTCATTTACTTTTTTTTTTCAGTGCTTGGGATTGAACCCAGATCCCTGCAAATGCTAGGCTAGTTCTTTACCACTGAGCTACACCCCTAGCCTAGTCTTCAATGATAAATTCTAGACAGAATTTTCGCATTCTCCATCTACAGTTTGAGTATTCTTTGGAAGTCATTTGACCCTCTCTGAGCTTCAGGTTCCTTACCTATAACATGGGGTGAAATTATCCATAGGTCACACTGAGGATCAAACCCCAGGGACACAGGCATCATAGTAATAGGCCCAGGTCAATGTTTGCTCCTTAAAAGTCGTTTCTGTTTGTGTTGGTTCTGTAACCAGGTTTGTCGGTGGAAGCCTCAGGATGGCAGAGACCTTGGGCCACCCAGCTCGAGGTGTGTGCAAGGCAGGGAGGGAGGGGTGCCAAGAGGAAGATGTCAACCTCACAGGCTGGGGTCAAAAGTCACAAGGCCATGCACTTCCTGCCTGTCTCGGTTGTAACTGTAGAACTGTTCCAGAGACACATCTGAAATCAGTTAGAGGACCAGGCTGGGCTTGGAGGGCTTTTTTGGTGATGGGGAGCGAATGATAGGCCTACATATAGAAAAGAGGAGAGGGAGGGGAGAGAGAGAGAGAGAGAGAGAGAGAGAGAGAGAGAGAGAGAGAGAGAGAGAGAGAGAGGGAGAGGGAGAGGGAGAGGAAGAGAGAGAGAAGGTGTGAGAGAGAATAAGGGAGGGGAGGAGAGAGAGACAGAAAAAGAGAGACACAAAGACAAAAAGACACAGGAAGAAGGGAAGAAGCAGAGGGAAGGGGAGGAGGGAGAGGAGAGGTGAGTTCTGTGTTTTTCAGGGGATCAGGAAGGGTAAGAGCTGCTCTTTACTTGGCATTACCTCTCTAATGAGAGAGAATGTAACCTAAAACTCCCGCCCCCAACCCCTAACTTTGAATCCTCATTTTATGGATGGAGAAATCAAGGCTCAAAAGGAAAAGTAACTCATGTTTATACTTTTTTTTTTTTTTGGTCGGTCATGGGGCCTGAACTCGGGGCCTGGGCGCTGTTCCTCGGCTCTTCAGCTCAAGGCTAGTGCTCTACTACTCGAGCCACAGCACTATTTTCGGCTTTTTCTTTTTCTGCTTATGTGGTGCTGAGGAATCGAACCTAGGGCCTCATGCATGTGAGGCAGAAGCTCAAGTTTAACCTAGCATTTCCACAGATTGTAGTGAAGGTGTTGAATAGCTAAAGTAATATGGACTTCATGTATCAAACTGAAATGAAGCCATGTACTGATGGATGGCTCACACCAATAATTCTAGCTACTCAGGAGGGCTGAGATTTGATGGCAAAAGTACAAAGCCAGCCAGGTCGAAAAAGTCAAAGAGACTCTACCACCAATTAGCTAGAACAAAACCAAACAACGAAAAACCCTAGACTAGAGGTATGGATCAAGTGATAGGCAGTCTTGAGCAGGAAAAGCTGGGTGAGAGCATACAGCCCTGAGTTCCAACCCCAGTACCAGCACAAAGAGATAGATAAAACAAATAAGAAGTTGGCACAAAACAGCAAGCAAAAAATACTTCGTGGAGAAAATCCAATGAAAGAATTGTTCACTGTCTCCTTGTCATTGTGAGGACATTGTTGTTCTTATCAGCCTCACCATTTTCTGAG